ACACTGCAGCACGGTTCTGGGTTTTCCTCAGAGTCCAGTCATGCCACATCACCACATCTTCATCGGAAAGCACACCCGCGTGGCCATGAGTCTATGTCCGCCTCACTTGAACATAATAACCAACATGCACTGACGATCCTGATACTACCAAGCCTAAATATAGACATTGAGACTGTAATTCTAGTGTACTGCATTAATCGGTCATTCGGTCTAGATCTTTACTTTTACCAAAAGAGGTTCGAAGTGTTTGGAGATGACATATTTACTAAAAATATACCCAAACCCATCATAATGATTAAATCGGTAGTAACGTGTATTCTGTTTAACACGTTCCAGTCACAAAGTGGTTAGCTTAACAGTTGGTGCGTTTTCTTCAAAATGAATTATAAAAAAAGAATATTTGCTAACTAGAGTGAGTGAGTATGGTTGTACGCAGCTTTTAAAAACATTCTTTTCATATCATGGTGATCATGTTTTATTTTGGATTACGCTTTGTGGGGAATCGAGCCATGGCCTTAATTACTATTAAACAATTATGATGACGTCAGGCTACTGTTATTGCAGTTGATTCTGAGCCAGGAATTAACGGCCTTTCTGGGCATGCATTTGAACAAGTAAAACTGACGCAACTATAAGACATTATTTTAAGTATGAATACATTTATATATCAACCATGACATTGTTTAGGTCGGTTTGGGGGGCACGGGTGGTCCAGTCGTCAAAGGCGCCGCGATTCGCAGTGCAGAATTGCGTCCCCTGGGCATGCCAAAACCCTATGGTTGTGGGTTCGAATCCCGGTTCGCCCCGGTTATGTTTCTAGGTTTGTCAGCACCATACCCGTGCTCGTGGGTTTCACCGAAGTGGTAAACGTCTGGGACCTGCATTACTTGGGGCTTTCCTCCCACATTAGGCTGACACGCCGTGATATAACTGGAATACTGTTAAAAGCGGCGTTAAACCCAACTCACTCACTCAAAGTCGGTTTGACTTCCAGGATCAACAGATTCGAGTGATTTCTCTTTTTTCATCAAGACACATAGAGCTGATGCAAAAGAAACGAAAGTGATTACTTCACCCAATCCCTCGTACAACATCAGTGATACGCATCCTCAGATACTTCCCTCCCACAAGTAGATCCGGAACCCCCCACTAAATGTAGTATACAGGACGCCATATTGGCGATTTCTGCTTTGATTACCATACGATATATAATGGGTAGGTAATGGTTAGTGTGTATGAGTTGATTATAATGTGTTCAGGAATATGACAAGGGCATATTATATTACCGTTACAGAGTAATTTCTGCAATATCGTATGATATCGTGTATATTTATTCTTAACGGCGTTCTAGTGGAATAGAACTGTGCGTATAGGCATATTGATCATCACCGTAGGAATTTGGAATAATTTAACTCCAACTTTTCCTTTAAAATACCATGACAGCTGACTTTTATATTTGACTTGGGTGAATGAATGTTGTTAAACGCCGGTGTTACGACATTATTCCAGCCATGTCGAGTGTGGACAAAGCAAACGAGTGACTGAAAGAATGAGCAACGATCCACTCCACAGACGCTTGGCCACCCGATCCTCTTTTGTCTGCTCTTACGACAACCATATGATACTGAAGGGCTAAAGGTGTAGGGCCGAAACGATGCAGGTCTCCGACGTTTAGCAATTTGGCAAAACCCATGAGCACGGGTATGGTACAAACAAACCTCGAAACTAAAACCCGCGCGAACCGGGATTTGAACCAAGCAACAATAGTGCAACAATAAGCAATCAGTCAATCTATTAAGTAAAAGGTAAAACAGACTTTGTTTTGAGACTACAATCGGTGTGGTTGTGTTCATCTCAGAGGGACTCGATCAGACTGTCGTAATCCTTTCTGAGCACATATTCTACTGAATAGAAATGTAAGGGCATACTGGGAGTCCTTTATGCCGTGGAACCCAGTACCTTACAATGTATATCAGAACAATAAAGAATTACTGACAAAAGAGGTTATTAAACAAAGATAAGGACATTAACACGTCAGCCAGCTCAACAAAGGGCTCAACTTGGGTGTTAAACAGAGATTTCAAAAGTTCCATGGTTGGGATCCAAACTGTACGTATATTTTTTAGAACTTTTGAACTGTCCCTTAGTTGTAACGACAGTGTTGCCATATAAGGTTGCTAGTGGTGATTATTGTGTTAATTAGGATGGGTACTTGTAGCGAATGCCATGACATATATGGTAACCGGTTTGTAATGACTCAACAGGTTACAGAACATAGGCATTGTCACATTATGGACATACGACCATATCAATATCTATATCCGTGTCGGGTCACACGGGTCTCCAAATATGGCTTTTGTGTGTGTGTGTGTGTGCGTGTGCGTGCGTGCGTGCGTGCGTGCGTGCGTGTGTGTGTGGCCAGGGGCTGGAGTGGGTTTGGGGGGTGGAGGTGGGGTTGTGGGTGTGTGCGTGTGGGGGATGTGGGGGTGGGAGGTCTGTGTCGCTGTATCTGTACATGTATGCCCGAGCGTGTATCTGTATGGAATATATGTATAAACAAACTGTTTTGTTTAACGCCGCAGTCAGCAAGGTGACAGCAATAAGACGGTTGCGTGTACAGACTCGAGTCTGGTCAAGACAAACCACTGTGAATTGTACTCATGGTAACATAAGCTATGATAGGATTATTCTGAACAAGCCCAACATTAGATCATCTGTAGGTATCAAATGTTTTAAAACGTTTGCTCTAAGGTAGTTTAATTCCAAGTAATTAACACTGTACAATGTTCCATATATCTGTCATTTTATTTTCATGCAGTTTTATCGAACTATGTAATGCTACTCCTGTCTAGTTCAAGCATGTTTGTTTGCTTGGCAAAATGTGTTTTATATGACATTGTGTGTTTCTCATCATATATATTCGTTTGTTGTTTAACGCCGCACTCAGCAGTATTCCAGCTATATGACGGCGGTCTGTAAATAATCGAGTCTGATCCAGACAAACCAGTGATTGACATCATGACCATTGATCCACAAAATTGGGATACGATGACATGCATCAACCAAGTCAGCGATCCTGACCACCCGATCTCGTTAGTCGCCTCTTACGACAAGCATAGTCGCCTTTTACGGCAAGCATGGGTTGCTGAAGACCTATTCTACCCCGGATCAGAGAATAGGTTAACATACAGGGTGAACTGAAGGACGAACGAGTAAAATTTGTAATATATAATGTTATCAATTTAAGACGTATTGTGCGTAAAGTAATATTCTAATGTTAAGATAAAACAAAACCCTCTGCTTGTTAAATTTCCACTTTAAATTTGTCATCTTATCACATTCGTTGTTTTACATGCATCCTAGCAATCATTCACCCGATAAAGAGTGAGTGAGTATGGGTTTACGCCACTTTTAGCAATATTCCAGCAATATCACGGCGGGGGACACCAAAAATTGGCTTCACACATAGCACCCGCCAGATGAAGGAGTAAACATATACTCCGAAACGTTGTATTCCTCATAACAAAGAAGCTGACATCCATAAATTCACTCTATTATGTGTATTACTTCTAAATGCGATTAAATTACTTTATCTGCTACTGTTAGCTGATACTAGTGGAGTTGTGTGTGTGTGTGTGTGGGGGGGGGGGGGGGGGGACTCTAGCCAAAAATAAAGACAACAACTGGGTCAGGAGTGTCATTCACAGTGCGGACACTGCCCCATGATACATGGCCGCATGTCTGTTCTGACCTTTAGTGTCCAGTACTGGCGGTAGTGAGTCACATTCCTGTAGACCTACGTCGTCATTCATGTATACAACAGTCGCGTGCCTTCTTATCTCTGTGACACCACGCACTTGTCACGCTCATAACCCCTCCGTGGCAATTTCGTTTGCCCAACAAAGTCCATGGTTTTCTCGGAATTAACTTGCGTTTTGAGAAGGTTATAATTTATGATACTTAAGATTTATTATCAATATTAATTATACAAACTTATGATAGTATTCATAGTTATTTTCGATATTTTATCTGTATATCATATGTGGCTTCCAAACGGGACATTAAACGCGGTTGATGCAAATCCAAATTGCGTGGATCGATGCTCAGGACATCAATCACTGGATTGTCTTGTCCAGACTCGATTATTTACAGACTGCCGTCATATAGCTGGAATATTGCTGAGTGCGACGTTAAACAACGAACAAAACAAACAAACATTAAATGTAGGTATGTATATGCCATGGTGATATACATTCATACATGATAATATGTAGCATTATTGTTGTACGAAATGAAATATTATTATATTCATGATAAAATATTATTATATCATACCAGTAATATACATGTACCTCACATATCCAGACATCTTAGTATGATGATGATAAGATATTGCGGAGAAGATTTATAACATATGGTTTCTGTAAAGAGAAACTAATAATTTGAATTTGAAAGATGAATGTATATATATGTGTGTATTTTCTGATCTACGTGACCCGTGACGATTCGGGGTAGAATAGGTCTTCAGCAACCCTTGCTTGCCGTAAAATGCGACTATGCTTGTCGTAAGAGGCGACTAACGGGATCGGGTGGTCAGGCTTGCTGACTTGGTTGATGCATGTCATCGATCCCAATTACGTGGATCAATGCACGCAATGATGTTAATGACTGGATTTTCTGGTCCAGACTCGATTATTTACAGACCGCCGTCATAAAGCTGGAATACTGCTGAGTGCGGCGTTAAACAAACCAAAAAACAAACAAACAAACAAACAAACAAACCCGTATAGATATTTCGTTTTCAATTTCACCAGGAATAAGGTAGAAGTTACTCTAGGGAATACACTAATTACCTCAGGCTTCCGTACAAGTTAAGGAAACAATTTGCTCGAATTATCTTTCTCCTGTTCAGGGCCAGTGAGGTTAACAACAAGCTGGTTGATTGAATCGAACAGCCGCGGTGTTGCACGCGGTGTGAGGAGCCACAGTGCGCGTGGGACACAGTACGTCATTTCCGTTACGTTTGTAGCAGACGGTATTTTGCGCTCTATATATATTTACATCGGAGGGTCGGAGGATACTACTTCACGATCAACTCATTTAGTTTAGTTTATTCAAAACCATTCCTTACAATATGACATACAATCAGTACGCCCAGGGCCCAACTGTTGTCAAAATAGGACGGAGTATTTCCAGAGAAGAAACCAATACTGTTGTTAGTTTGAGAAGAACAACCACTGGAAATCCATGGGGTTTTCGTATGCTTGGAGGTCGAGACCAGGGAACTTGTCTCTACGTTCATAAGGTAGGTTGAATAGATAACAGTTTTAAGTGACAATAACAAGTAGTAGAGTAAAAGGAATTTCAGATATGTTTCCTTATTGTGTGGGATTAGGGTAGGGTCAGTTTTTGTGCTTAATTGAGCAAATTATGTAAACAAATACCGTCTGTCATTCTGTGGAGTAACGGAATGACTGTAATAATATATTCATTTATTTGAAGTGGTTCTACTTGGTTGGCATTGCAAAAAGCATTTTTGTGTTTGGTTGCCTTGTCGCACTTTTGATGGCCCTTTTGACGGACTAACCTTATCTAAATGAGATATATTTTCACAACAAACAACTGGGCGGAGAACAAACTTGCGTACATAGCAAAGCCATTTATAAGCATAACACAATATTTGAAACGAATTATGTTCCGTTACTATTCATTTTTATGAGCATACGTAATTATATGTGTGAAGGTCTACAACTGGTGGTGGTTGAGATATTTGTAACGCATTGTGATTAAAGTGGTTATCATACATATGTTGGTAAAATGTGGCATCAAAACAAAACTACCTCGTGAAATGTAAACGGCGTATCACGAAACAGATTGCTCAGAAATGGGTTTATGGATGTTGGTATTCGCAGTTTTGTCGATTTTGTTCAACACATGTTGTTGCTAGGCATATATTTTCAAAGCATTCCGTTAGGCAACACAAGAAGACAACATGTGCCGGCTAATCTGTGTCAATACACCCTCTTCGCAGGTGTATATTTCAAGGTCACGTGCATTATACAACCATAAACATTATTACTGTTTTACTCTGACATCTATTTCATGCATCTGTCTACTGGCGGGGCGCTTTACACCTGAACGATGATGTCTGCCGCATCCCCTCAACTTGGCAGTAACACCCTAATTACTCCCCGCAAGTTGCTTACATGTGACTAGGTCACATGTGCACGCGCCGTTATGTATACACGCGCGGATAGAATTTCACTGTGCCAAATTTGGGGAGTCTGCCATTTCTTGTATATGCAGAGCATCGCTGTGGAGTTTAACAATGCAAACAGACACACTTGCAGCTAAACCACTTTGGCAAATAGATTTACGCTGTATGTACGATGGCAGATCTTTAGCTGAAGCTGCTTACTGACACCATTGCCGAAACCAGTCTGTCATTACGTCACGTCTGAAATTCAGATTAATGAATCTTGTGAATAATCAGATGTAAATACAGATACTATGTGGTGGTGTTTATGATATTTTCCTGACATGATATAACATGAGCCACGCTGAACGCTGTCGTTGATGTCGTTGAACATAATAGGCTACAATAAGGTTTTTTTCAGAAGAGGGAGATAGTAAGAATTAAACACCAATATACCCTATGGCAAAGTTAGGTCCTTTCTCTGAAGGCACCGGGTTTGACTGTGCGGCCTCGCGTCCCTTAGTCGTGCCAGGATCCGGTGGATTTTCAGCACCATACTCGGAATTCGTAGGTGTCTTCTGATGCTACACTTTGCACTCATATAACCATGATATTATACCTTTACGTTTCATACATGAGTCAGTCAATAAGTTATACCACAATATAGATTGCGTAAGGTTGTAATGATTACATAGTTACATTGCATGATGTCACGTTTTATAGGGAATGCACCACCAAGAACGCAGGGAGACGTCATGTCATGACCAGGTGAACTGGAATGTGAGAGCGACTTACGTTGTCTCATTTATTAATCGCAACAATGTTTGACCTTCATTCGACGTTAACTAATAGTCTTGTCGAGGTACATGTACACATATGGGAAATTATATGTGATAGATGGTAAGACATAATAATTTTGACGCGGGACTTCAACATAAGGAACAGTAATCCGCCGAAATATGCACTCAGTACCATAATGTTACACAGACACTGCCACTCCCATCTGACCATACTTGCGAAAATACACTTCCGAGGTCGTCCATGTTACCGGTTTATAGGGAAAGTTAACTCTTTAGCATTGATCTTCGCAGCGTGTTACCCCATGTTACGGTCATCCTGTGGTTACTTCCCGCTGTCATGGACGTGACACAATGCATTTTGTTCGCATTGACAAATGGGAGAATGGGATGGTCAAGATAGCAAGAGCTAATTGTATTTCATTGTGTCCTAAGGAATCCATTTTGAAAAGTAATTTCGAGAAATTGACATTTATTCTTATTTGTCAATGAGGCAAAATGACTCACTCATCAGATACATGGAAAATCTAAGCCCGTGGCTAAGTCTTCCGCTGTCCTTACGAGATGCTTATAATACGTTACGTGGAATACTTTACATTTCCTCCTCCTTAAGCATGGCTAAATTTAAATTTAATGAATTTCATGTCCTGTATCTACACAACAGCTAGGGCTTATGCAGTGTGTTTCGGAGTGGATCTCCACGGCCGTGCGATTTCTCGATGTCTTGTTCGATTACGGAGAAGAACAGGTCCCTTGTATCACATGCTGTTTGTCAAAGTCATCTAAAGTAGGATCGAATGGTCAGGCTTTGTAACGTCTCGGATTACGTGTCTTCGTGTCCCTACGGTGTGGGTCGTTGTTCATGCCTTCATCCACTAGTTTGGCTGATCCAGACTCAATTATTCACAGGCAGCCGTAATATAACTCTAATATAGCTAACAGAGGCATCAAAGGACTTTCAATCACTTCACTAGTCTTTTCGGAAATCGAAATGGAAAATGAAAATGGAAGTTGAAAAATGTCTTGATTGGTTTTAGTATTTATATCCTTGAAACTCCATCGCACGTAGGTTATGCACTCTGAACTGTTTAAAGGAAATGTTTAAAAAATGGGAAATATTATTTCATTTGCGTCCAGTACTGTAAGATGCCAAAGACTTCGAAACATTTTGATTTAAATCAAATGGTCATGCCTCCATGAATCAATGTAGTGGTACTTGATTTCTTGAATCAATATTCACGTAAACAATAAAGTATTATATTGTTACCAAACACTACCAGTGTTTTACCAGTTGTCATTGACTGGAATAACTGGGGTAGGGTTTAACGATGCATTGTCTACAACGATTGTAGGCGAATTATTTCAAATGTCAAACATTGGTGTCTGCAAATTGCAGTCCACACACACCAGATCCAGGAAGTATTTGCTGGAATGTGTTTTGGTAAATTCGATGTAATTAAGATGTTATCTGTCCATCAAGTGAGTGAGTGAGTATGATTTTACGCCGTTTTTAGCAATATTCCAGCAACATCACGGCGGGGGACATCAGAAATGGGCTTCACGCATTGTACCCATGTCGGGAATCGAACCCGGGTTTTCGGCGTGACGAGCGAACGCCACCCGACCGCCCCATGTCCTTCAAGAGTCGCATCCCAAAGGACAACATCGTTTCAGGAAATTGGAAATGCAAATTCGGTCCATCTTTCTAAACACCGTCACTTGTTAAAAAGAAGTATGATAACTTCTGTATCTTCAGGCACGAAGTCATTGATTTTTAAACAGCTGATTATCATAATACATTTCAATGTCATGAACTATCAAAGAAACTATATGTATTATATAATCGGGACACCAATCTGCTCATTCCGCTTTGAATGGCAGCCAATATTGCAATATATGCCTGTATTGGCATCGTGCACGGTTTCTGAGAGTAAAAGTAAAGAGGTACACACCTATGGAACAAGGGGCTATGGGCTTATGTGGCAGAAAACTGGGGAAAATATGATAATTGCTGACATTAATCAACGTGGGTTTCCATCGACTCAAGACAAGAGAAAGAGTTTAAGATTCAAGGAAAGGCGAGTGAAAAAGCTGAAGACTAGCTTTCGGTTCAGGTTTATCTTATTAGCCAAACCAACTGTTTACAAATGTGCGAATGTTTAGGCGTAGGTGGAACCTCTCCTGGCAGACAGACCTTGAGAATAAATATCTTCTCCCACTGTACCCTTGACCTCCCACACGGTGGAAGGTCGTCGAAGCTAAATAGCGTTCCTTAACAGATAATGTGCTGAGTCAAGATTGCAGTGTCATGATCCTGTTTCAACTGTATAGTCATTAAAGTAAATCCTTGCATCCAGGACAGGTTCTTGTGAATGCCATGAGACCAGTTTTATATCAGTTGAACACAAATATCTTCCTGAGGAATTGGCGTAACGCAGATGCATAATTGAATGTAATATGACTTTTATTACAACTAAATGCTGTGTAGGTAGTTACATTTAAATATGACTATAAATTGTCAACGCCAGAGAATAATCATTCTCGTTTATCTGCCGAAACAGATTCCATTGGGCGTAAAAGGCAAAATAGTGGTTAAAATTATATGAATGGCTCAATAAAAATCAGTGCTGACACAGATGTTGAATGGCATTTATAATTACATGTAATAAATGTGATACATTATAATCGTTATCCTCGGTAATCCAATTAAAGATCTCTAATCTACTATAATAAATACCGTGGAACCGTTTTCAAGGATCATGATCATTTAAAGTCATATGCGGAGGGAAATTCTGGTTACAGAAGTGACATCACTTCCCAAAAAGAAACTATGGGAACGAATGGTTCCAGGAAATTTATTAAAACAGAATAGATATATAAGACACACGGTTACCGAGGATGGACGATTGCTCTATTCTTTTTAAGAATTGGCAAGTCTACATATATCACTGGATATTGAAAGCTTGTCACTCCCGTTAACATCTGCACATGAGTTCCTAGCCTATACCCACAAGCAACTTCTGTTCAAACTCTTACACCATTTCGAATTCTATTACAATCAGTATATATAGTCTTCGAAGAAAAGAGGGGATCATGAAATATAAAAGTTAATACCAAGTATTAGAACAAAAACAAAACCCTTCCCATATTCATAAGCAATTTCTGCCAAAATCAGAGTCGAGTGTAGTACGATTCCGACTAAATCATGAGCAAGAACGTTTATATCTGTAAACCTTAATACCCAAACACATCCTATAGTTTGCACGCCCCTCACGCTAGATTGTGCAAGGAAGGGTCACTGGACAGTACTAT